CTGCTTTGTCTGTGAAGATCAGTGAGTTTGAAGTTTATTTCATAGTGCAGAAGTCCCTGATCATCACTGCCATACTTAGAGCTCTTCTTTGAGACCCAGTGAACCTCCCAGTCACCATCCTGTCTTCTTCAGGAGGCCAAGCTGAAGTCTGAGAAAGGAGTGAGAGTCGGAGAGAGGGAGGACACTCTTCCGCCAGAGTACCGATTCACAGAAGACAAACTGAAAGAGTTTCCTGCCCCCAAGAAAGAGGTTGGAAATTTAAATATTGCTTAGAGTGATAAATTCTGCTGTACATATGCATAACTGTGTTTTTCACATTCTATGGGCTGATTCACTTAATAGAAACAAGAGTAATTATTAGGTGCATACAGATAATCAGCTTAATGCTACCTTCGATTGCTGTGAAAACACTGGAACCAAAGCATGACATGAAGTTTCATGAAATACATAAAACAAAGGTATGATTCTAATAAACATAACTACTTACAGACTTTGCGGTTTACAAGCTCTGAATAAAGGCTGGCAATGATCTAACGAATATACTGCGTTCGCTAGACACCACTATTGCGAGTCATGTCTGGTTGATGTCCCCACTTTGCATTGATTATCACAATTCTGTCGAACACCAGTAGGTGTCTCCAGTGTCTTTACCACGATACAGAACGTGGGACGATGTGGCCTAAAAAGAAAATCTCAGATTTGTTTCAGCTTACACACAATTTACGATTCCAATTTTGACTATTTTTTTTAAGCAAAGACATTATTCAAATAAGTTTTATTTTAACATCTATTTTTATGTACTACTGTTTAAGTGGGGCAGGGCTACCTGGGTAAAACACATTCGGATTGGTAGCTCACATCTGGGGCTGATTTTATTCAGATTCTGAATGAACCCATTTGTTTTCCACCGTATATATGGGCACCATGTCTTTGGAGGTATGAAACGTCGCCACATCTGTAAATTCTTTCCACTTTAGTTCTTCGTTATTGTATGGAATGTAGCGTGAAAAGGACGCCGCTATTCTTGCTTTTCAGCCGGCGTTCAGCGGCTGCCGCGATCTCCCAGGGCCACATGGCCTGTCTGAGATGCTGAAATGAGTTTCCATGCTGCTACCTTTAGAAGCCCCAGTTTTCAGATAAACTTTACAGCGGACAGTGGTTTGTTTTATGTCTGGTTTTGCATAATCCAAAAAAAAAAACAACTGAGGAGACGCTTCCAGTTTTCAAGATGAGCTCCTCACTGTTTGACGCGTGGCTGCCATCTTGTTACTCTGTGCTGGTGTTTGAGGGGATGGGGGGGGGGCTTGACTGAGAACAATTTGGCACCTAATTTACACAGCCTTTGAAGTAAAAAAAAAAAAAAAAAAAATGACACCAAAAGAAATATATTCCCCCGAATAGTAATAATATATGGTAAGACACGTTTGAAAGGACTACCATGGGTAAATTGCTGGTGTTTGTGGCTACTTCCGCTGTTTCACCGGAAGAGTCTTAAAGCACTTATGTAAGTCGCTCTGGCTAAGGGCATCTGCCAAATGCTGTAAATGTAAATGTAAGTTACACCCATACACATTTCCACAGTAGCACCCCCAGGAATAAGGTGGATATATTGTTTGAACATCTTCATTGTGATGTGCACATGGGCAAAACTCACATCGCAGGATGTACGATGTCAAGTCAGGCAAATTAAAATAAAATGTCGTGCTTTTTTGCTGCTTGATACAAAAGAAAAATTTGCACGGTTCTCATTTCCTATGACTAATCTACAAGAGAAGTCTGATAGAACGTAATCTACTCCAAATGTAGTGCGCCAAGTTAGTTTGCAAAAGTATGTAACCTACATATTTCCTCAATGATGACTGATATGTATTATCACTGCCAAAATAAGCATTTATCTGCTGTTTGTTAGACTACTTCTGATGGTTCATGTGCTTTTTTTTTATCTCATTTATGTCTCCCTTAAAGGTCGTTAGGAGTCCCTCTATATCGTTTACCTGCCTGCAAATTATATTTGTGGATACATTTATTGTAACTTTTACCCTTCTCTCCAGCCATCCATAGATGACGCTACAGCTCTTGGTCTTCTTTCCTCCGACTTTGATGCCCCTGCTGCTCCAGCTGCTTCAGCCCCAGTTACCAAAGCTGCACCAGCTGCCGCTGTTCCCAAAGTTACACCTGCTCCAGCTGCTTCAGCCCCAGCTACCAAAGCTGCACCAGCTGCCGCTGTTCCCAAAGTTACACCTGCTCCAGCTGCTTCAGCCCCAGCTACCAAAGCTGCACCAGCTGCCGC